CGGCGTGTCGGGCGACCTCGATGACCTTTCAGTCTCGGCCAACGCCGGCGACAACTCGGTCTCGGCCAACGCTGATGACAACTCGGCCTCCGCCTCCACCTCCTCGTCGGCCGCCTCGCTGGCCACTCCCCTTTCCTTCCTCTTCTAAGAGAGCACGAGAGATTCTCGCTCGTCTATCACACGTGGCTACCCACCATATTTCAACAACATCATTTTCTAGATATCGACTTTAAACAGCTTCATACACCGTTACATCTTGGGTTGTTGATCCTTGGCGAGACGACTTTGTGGTCATCCGGATGTCTTGCCTTGCTCGCTCCTACAGAACCTTGAGCGTCTCAAGCTCCATGGCAATGACTCCCACAGGCGCCACTTGCTCACGCGGGGTGGAATGCGCGAGGGCCACGAGGCGTGCGGCGTTCTCGTTCTCCAGCGTTCCAGTGGTCGTCATTTCCGCCCACTCCTGCGCGGAGAGCCACTGGGCGCCGCCATGGCTGCTCCAGTCAAAGTCCTTGAACTTCTCGGCCACCGAGGCGAGGAAGACCACCTGGCAATGCAATGGAGAGAACTGTCATCACGAGCCAGGCAACAACAGAGGGCAGCCTTCAACTTGGTGAGGTTGTACCTTAATGAACCCGGTGGGGTTGGGGTTGCTGGGGGAATTGGGGGCAAAGTAGTACACCTTGAGCACGCCTTTCATCTCCAGCACGATACCGCCTTTTGTTGAGAGCGATGATGATTCGTGTTAGCACCATTTCCGCACAAGCACCGACAGAAGAAGTGAAGAAGAAGCACTGATAAGCTCTGCTGCTGCGAGCTTGAACTGGCGCGGTCTCGTCATAGTCGCAGAGGGGATGTTCCACTTGCCACTCTCTCCCTTCACCGCCAGGTAGCGGCCTGGAGTTACAGAAAGGGTTGGTTAGGCCCATCTTGGGTGTTGGTTGGAAGAGTAGTAGCGCAAGCGCAGTTCACCTTGACCATCGGTAACCACGGCCTCAACAGCGGCCACAAGGTTCACCTGCACCTTGTGGTGGTTCACGGTGCCACTGTCCTGTTCCGCGCACCACAGAGCGTCAGCAACCCGCGCTCGCCTAGGTCATGACGGTGAGTGTGACGTGGCCGAGTACCTCGGACTCGAGCAGAGAAGTGGGAAAGAGTCGTGTCCCAGACTGCGCCCAGTTGAAGATGGACTTGACCTCTGTTCCATCACACACAAAGCAATGCACC